TTTGTAAAGCCAGATGAATACCATTTTTGTTCTGTTCTTGATTTTTTTTTCATGTGTATGTGTGCGCGTGTGTCTGTCTATGTGCGTATCACATGAGTGCAGTGCCAGAGAGGCCAGGAGAGGGCGCCAGACAGGGTTTCTCTGTGTAGTTTTGGTGTCTGTCCTGGATCTCTCTCTCTGTAGACCAGGCTGATCTTGAACTCACAAAGATCCCCCTGCCTCTGCTGCCCCCCCCCCCGGTGCTGGGATTAAAGGTGTGGGCCACCGCTGCCCAGGGAGTACTGTTTATTTTCTGAGATAGATGTAGCATTGATCTCAAGCTTTTGGCCTCCTATCAAAGTAGCAGACAGTACAAAGTTACTCTGTATTCAAGTTAAGGGATCCAGGCTAAAAAAAAAACAGCTCAGTGGCTCAGAGCACTCGCTGCCCTTCCAGGGTACCCAAGTTCGATTCCCAACACCCACATTGCACCTCACAAGTATCTGTAACTCCAGTTTCAGGGAATCTGATACCCTCTTCTGATCTCCTTGGGCACCAGCCACATACATGGTACACATACATAGACACAGGCAAAGCACTCACACACACAAAATAAAAATCCGTGAAGTTAAGGATCTAAGGAATCTATTTTCTTCCCTCTTTCGACCCATCCAGTCAATCAGAACAAGCAATAGCTTTGTTTTGTTGATTTCTTGTTTGTTTGTTTTTGTTTTTGTTTTTAACACACAGATATAGACCTTAGTCTTAAGAAGGGACGGGAAGAATCTTTGTCATATAATTTAATGTCGGTTCTCCCAGAAGCAGGCTAAAGGTTGTCTCTATTATGATAAATCAATAAACGTGGACATTCCGCCATACTTTGGAGGTGGCGCTCAGGTGATTGCAAGGTCCCTTTCCAGCTCTCAAGTGCAGTGGCACACAAGCACGCCACACTATATGATCTTGGTGATGTAAAAGTTAACTGTTGTCTGGTTTCATTGCCAAAATGTAAGTGCCATAAAAAGCAGTTTTCTTACCTCGGAATAACAGTTAGTGGTGGCGGACAGGCCCAGCAGCTAGCAGACCAAGATTCCTGTGACTTTCTTGGCAGGTGACTCTCTTCAAGTCTGTACCTAGGTTGAGTGGTAGGCATGGGGGCATGGTGACCCACACCACTAATTCCAACTTTGAGAAAGCCCTGACTCCTATTTGAACGTCAGTTTTCACTCCTGTCCAAGGAGTAATATGCTTCAGCCCACCCTCTGATGTCCATCTGCCCTCTGATGCCCATCCACCCTCTGATACCCAACCCTGTCTCTGATACGCCAAGCTGTCCTCTAATGCCCCAACCCTCCAGCCCTCCAATGCCTTGCCCCATCCTTTGAAAGCAAATGATGACTAACGGTTGTTTTAAAAGACTGACTTCAGTGTAGACCCCAAGTTGCTGGTCCCCCTCAAGGCTCTCTAACCACACCTCCTTTGATCCTCTTGTGCTGTGCTAAGGGGTGACCCCAGAACCTTGTATGCACTTGGCAAGTGTTTGGCTGTCCAATCACATCCCAAGCCCTCTGGTCATGCATTTATGTGAGAATTTTATATTCATTTTAAAAGATTCATTCTAAATTATTTGTAGGCATTGATGTCTGTGTATATTCACACACATATGTGAGCAGGTATGTGTGAGAGGCAGCTGTGAGCCGCCTGATGTGGGTGCTGAGAACCAAACCCAGGTCCTTGGCAAGATCCGTACCCACTCTTAATCACTGAGCCCACCTCTCCAGCCCTGTATTATTTTCTTAAAGATGTCCCCCAGTTCTCCATTCCATGGGCTGAAGTACCGAATACACATATATACCAAGTGTTAGGAGATCCTCAAGGGCACACTAGACACAGGAACCCAATCTCATATGGCACTAAACTCTTCTGAATTGCCCTCCAAAATGTAACAACTTGGGCTGTATGGAAGTTTGACTCAGGCGTGTGGTTGAGGGGAAACTTTCTAGACTGGGAAATAAGAAATTCTGAGTTTCAGTTTAAGGAAAGACTTCTATGCAGGTGTGGGGTAACAGTTAAGTTCCTGAAACTCAGCATGTTGGAGGAATGAAAAGAAGAGAGAAGGGGAGGGGAAGAGAGGAAGAGGAAGTAAGAAGGGAGGGGGAGAGAGGTGGTATTCCAGTGTGAAGGAAACATTGCCTCTTTCTCCCTTCCTTGATGAAATCCTGTAGGCTTCCTTTCGGCCTCACTGGCTCCTGGTTTGTCTCAGAAGTGGTGTGATTAAGTCATGCCAAAGCTGGGGTTGGAGAGATGGCTCAGAGGTTAAGAGCACTGGCTTCATTTCCAGATGACCCAGGTTCAATTCCCAGCACCCACATGGCAATTCACGACTGTCTGCAACTCCAGTTCCAAGGGATCTGGTACCCTCACGCAGCCATACATGCTGACAAAACCCCAAAGCACATAAAAATAAATACATCTTTTTTTAAAAAAAAAAAAAAGGTAAAGCAATAAAGAGCCTCAGTGAATCATTCTCAAAGTTTCTGGGAAGGGAAGTCATGGAAACGCTGTGTTTCTGTTCTCTGTTTCTCTGTTTCTTCTTTTTTCCCCCCGAGGTCTGTGAACAAGCCACTTACTGGCTTCCCATCGTTGGGAGGCTTCCATTTCTGAGGAACAAGAGTAAACCGTGTTATTTCAGTTGCTGCCGCTGATGAGAGCTAAGCTAGCCAGATTGTTTAGTTGACCCAAGGGCCCAAGACCTGAAAGGCAACATTCTTGGCACTGTCCCCACCCATCACTGTCCATGTGACATTTAAGGTTGCAGGAAGCTGAGGAGGGGAGAGGATTTGCCACATGTCATTTCAGCTAACGCTCAAAGTGAAATCCCCCCCCCCAGGGGAGAATGTATCCAGTTGTGTTTGGAAGGGAGGGTGGGTTTCAGTTCTCATTTTTGGTTCTGATTGAATTGGACAAGAGGAGATTGGTGTGGGTTTTCCTGGATCATCAGCTACTTACTGAGGCCAAAGAGCCCAGCTAGTCCAGCCCTGGGTATATATTCAAGAGAAATAAAAATGTGTCTACTAAAAAAATGTGGGCACAAATGACTGTAACGCCATTGTTCACAACAGCCAACAGGTGGGCACAGCCCAGATGCCCATCAGCTGGTCTGTTGACAGGCAAGCTGTGGTATGCCCACGTCATGGAATGCTATGTGGCATTGACCAGACATGAAACACTGATTCATGCTACATGCTGGCCTATATCACATGAAAGAAGCAGGCTTGGGGTTGGGGATTTAGCTCTCAGTGGTAGAGTGCTTGCCTAGCAAGCACAAGGCCTTGGGTTCGGACCTCAGCTCCAGAAAAAAAGAAAAAAAGAAAAGAAAAGAAAGAAGCAGGCTCCTAAAGAGCACATGTTGTATGAACCTGTTCTCATGAACTCTTAAGAACCAGGAAATGGAAGGAGACAAGCACTGGCTAGTGTTTGCCTAGCATGGAAGGGCGGGAGAGTGCAGATTGTGGGTTTCTAAAAATATTGTTGTGATGGTTGTACAGAACCTGGGAAAACACCAAAAAAAAAAAAAAAACACCGAACTTCTCAGTTGAAATGAGCAGATTAGATATGAGAATTATATTCCAATAAAGCAGGTGTTTTTTTTTTTAATGATAACTCAAGAACACATAGCCCAACCAAGAAGTGAACTGGAAAGTGTACCTTTCTCTGAGGACACTCCAGACACTCCTGAGTATGTTGATCTGTTTGTTTAGCACCGAAGGAAAGAGTTAAAATTAGAGGATAGGCCTGGGGAGGTGGCTCAGTCAGCAAAGTGCTTGCTCTCTACCCACAGAAAAGCCAGGAGTGGGCCAGTGTGTGCGTGGAACCCCAGTGCTGGGGAGGAAGATGGGGGCTCCCTGGAGCTCACTGGCCATCCAGCCATGTCCCATCAGTGAGCTCCTGATGTTGTCTGGATGGATGGATGGATGGATGGATGGATGGATGGATGGATAGATAGATAGATAGATAGATAGATAGATAGATAGATAGATAGATAGATAGATAGATAGATAGATAGATAGACAGATAGATGGGTAAATAGACAGATAGATGGGTAAATAGACAGATAGGTGGGTGGATGGATGGATAGATGGATGGATGGATGGATGGACGGACAGACAGACAGACAGATAGATAGATAGGTAAATAGACAGATAGATGGGTAAATAGACAGATAGATAGGTGGGTAGATGGATGGATGGATGGATTGATAGATAAATGGATGCATAGATAGATAGATAGATAGATAGATAGATAGATAGATAGATAGATAGATAGACAGACAGATAAGGCAGAAGTGATTAAGACACCTGACATCTGGTCTCTACATAGATATACACACACATGTACACACACTCACATCACAAGTTTACTCAGTAGCTTTCACACACTGTCATCGGGAATACCTTGGTTCATGGAGGCTATAGTCAGACTAGACTATCGGGAGAGATCAGCCATGGAGTGACTGATGGTTTAGTGGTTAGGGGAAATCTGGTGCTGAACGCAGCTTGTGACCTCCCATGTGTGTGCTGGGAACCGTACTTGAGCCCTCTGGAAGAGCAGCAGGTTCTCTTAACGGCTAAGCCAGCTCTTTTGCACCTGGTGGGTAGTCTTAAGTCACATGGGATGCCTCCTCTATGTAAACCCTGAGTCTAGTGTCATGTTCATCTCGTGGGAATCTAAGGAGCTCAGGGTGAAAGTTGGATCTCTACATTTGTCATCCCCGCATGACAATTAATGCTTTATACGATTTTGTAAATATTTAAAACCACCACATCATTAGTTTGTTTTTAACAAACAACAAAGGTCTCATTAGGTCACACAGACAGGCATCAAATTCCTGGACTCCAGCCATCCGCAGTCCCCGTCCTCCGGGGTTGCTGGGACCACAGATGTCTGCTACCACGTCCAGCTTCAATGACTCCCTCCCTTCCTTTCTCCTATAATTATCTATTTTCCCATTCCGTCCACAGGTGTGGGAGACAGGAATTGCCAGCGAGAAGAGGTTGCTGCTACAATGAACCTGAGCGATCCTGCGGGTCTTGTGCCACACATCAGAAGGTACTGCGCACTCTTGTGTCTCTGTGATGGAAGGTACTGTGCATGGCTTCCACTTAAGAAAATAGGAACAAGCTATGCTTTCTATGGTGAAATTTTATTGTCTTTGTAAGAACATAAAAGGAGTAAGCACATAAGTAAGAAGATAGTACATTAAATGGCTAGAGAGATGGCTTAGTGGTTAAGAACGTGTTCTGGGGGCTGGAGAGATGGCTCAGAGGTTAAGAGCACCAACTGCTCTTCCAGAGGTCCTGAGTTCAATTCCCAGCAACCACATGGTGGCTCACAACCATCTGTAATGAGATCTGGCGTGCCCTCTTCTGTATACATAATAAATAAATAAATCTTAATAAAAAAAAAAAAAGAACGTGTTCTGCTTTTGCAGAAGACCTCAGTTCTGTTCCCAGCACCCCCATAGCACAGCTCACAACTACCTGTAACTCCAGCTCCAGGAGGTTTGGCGCCCTCTTCTGGCCTCCACTGGCACTGCACCCATGTGTACAAACAGAGACACATGCGCGTACACAATTTACAAAATGAAATAAATTTTTTAAATCTTATATTATTAAAAGTGGTCTTTTTTTTAGGACTGAGGAGATGGCTCAGTCAGCATATTGCTTGCTGTACAAGCATGAAGACCTCACTTTGATCCCCCTAGAACCTTCATAAAAAGCCAGGCATGGTGGCAATGGAGCTGTAATCCCAGCACTGTGGGAACAGAGACAAGAGGCACCCTGAGGCTCACTGGCCATCAGCCTCGCTGAATTGATGAGCTCTGGGTTCAGTATAAGACCATGTCTCAAAAGTAAGATGGAGCCGGGCGGTGGTGGCGCCCGCCTTTAATCCCAGCACCAGCACTCAGGAGGCAGAGGCAGGCGGATCTCTGTGAGTTCGAGGCCAGCCTTGACTACAGAGTAAGATCCAGGACAGGCACAAAGCTACACAAAGAAACCTGTCTCGAAAAACCCAAAAAAAAAAAAAAAGTAAGATGGAGTCGCAGTTGAGGAACAGACCTTTGCTGACTTCCTGCCTCTACATGTACATGGCTGAGCACATCCACACCCATATGAACATGTACACACACACACACACACACACACACACACACACTTTCTTTACAGATTCTCCATATTCTCTGTCAGAGATCATCATAGAGAATCACTTGGTTACAAAAAAATAGTTTGCTGATGCCCTTTTCCAGGAAAATGCACGCATGCACGCACGCACGCACAACACACACACACACACACACACACATACACACACTCAGGCATGCAGACATGAACACATATACATTTATCTATACAGAGAGATGGCACCCGTTTTTACTGTAGTTAGGTTTTAGATTCTGAATTTTGTAAATAGTTTCCATGTTAGATTTCTGTCTCTGTGATGATGTATCTAAACTAATAAACTTATATGGAGAAAATATCTGCCTGGCCCACAGTTTGGGGGTCTCAGTCCACTATCAGTTGGCCCTTTTGATGAGGTGACAGTTCATAACAGGGGTGCGTGGTGAAGGCAAACTTCTCCCTTCATCCCCCAGGAGCAAGAGAAGAACTGAGAGAGAGGTGAAGTTCCACAGCACCTTTCGGAGCAGGGTGACCCCCCCCGACCCAAAGGCCTCCCACCGGGCTCCGCCTCTCCCAGGCACCTCTGTACCCAGTAGCAGCAAACCCACGAGTCTTTGCCATCCGGGGCTTCGGTGTGTGTCGGGGGAGGGGCGCTCAGGATCCAGACTAAAGTAGATTCATACCACTTTCCCAGATGTAATAGGATTTTCAAAACATGTTTTTCTTAATACAGATAAACAAAAAGAAGGGCATTAAACGTTACCCGAAATCCCAGTTCCTGCTTCAGATCCAACACAGGCTACCAAGAAACCCCTACCTGTCAGTTAAAAAGCCGCCATTTTTATGTCCGCAGCACCCCGATAAAGATAATCAAAAGAAATATATATATATATATTTTAATTTAAAGAAAGTGCTTTGGGCTGAGGAGCTGGCTCAGTTACTTTTTTTTTCCCCTTTGGTTTTTCGAGACAGGGTTTCTCTGTGTAGCTTTGCGCCTTTCCTGGAACTCACTTGGTAGCCCAGACTGGCCTCAAACTCACAGAGATTCGCCTGCCTCTGCCTCTCGAGTGCTGGGATTAAAGGCGTGCGCCACCGCCACCCAGCATGTTGTTGGTATTTTTAAGACAAAGTCTCACTATGTAGTGCTGGCTGTCCTGGAACTCACTCTGTAGACCAGGCTGGCCTCAAACTCCCTAGTGCTGGGATTAAAACCATGTGCCACCACTGCCTGGCTAAAGGCCAGTTCTCTGATTGCTTGTGATGTCACATACATTTCCTGTCCTCTGTACCCACTGGTGTCTCGCTTGTGAATTTCCTGTTCGTGTCCTCTGAGTGGGTAAGCGCATGCATGTGTCTCTGTTCCTCCTCTGACACTGACTCTGAGTTCATCTGGACACGTATGTGAAACTATCATCCCCGTGATAATAAACAGATGCTCTGCTGCCCAAAGCTCCTTGGCGCCCCTTCAGCCCTTCCTCTTTGGTCCTTGCCAACAACCACCCTGGCTCAGTAAGTGTGTGTCAGGGCATGTGTGGAGGTCAGAGGTCGACTTCATGAGTTGGTCCTCTCCTTCCTCCTCGTGGCTTCCAGGGATTGAACTCAGGTCAGCGCGCTTATTGGCAAGCATCTTTATCTGCTGAGCCACCTCACCACCTCAGATTTCAGTGGCTTTAACATAATGGTCAGATACTTTTTTTTTTCCTTGAGCCAACTATGGCGATTTGTGTCTTCTGAAGTATTTAGCCATTTCTTCCAAGTCCTTGAATTTCTTTGCACAACATTGTTGAGAAAAGTTCTTCATTACCTTAGTGCCTGTGAAGCTGGACCGGTGTCTCCTCTTTCATTCCTGATTAGTCATTGGTTTCGTCGCTCTTTTTTTTAATTAACAAATAAATTTGATGAGATTAATAAATACAACTCTTTTCCTAAAAGAGTCAGCTTTGCTTTCATTGTCTTTTTTATTTTATTTCAATGATTTCCTCTTTGATCTTCATTGTTTCCTCTGCTCGCTTTAGGTTCAGGGGACTCTTTTTTCTAGGTTTTTATTGTTGTTGTTAACACCCAGTGCCAGCCGAGGCCCCTGACTTGAAACTTTTCCTCCCCTGTGCCTTACATTTCCCTGGAAGGTTAGCAGCCTGATGTGGTTCGGATACATTGTGCCGGCCTTTGCTTTTCTTTTTACATGTATTCCATTGTGTTTCCTTTTGAGACAGAGTCTCACTCTGCAGCCCAGGCTGGCCTCAACAATCCCATTTCAGGCTCTTGGGTACTAAGGTTGCAGGCTACCCCACCCCACCCTACCCCCAGCCGGGCTTGCCTTTTCAATCCAGTCCAAATGGGTTCTTATTTCTCTCTTCATTTGCTCTTTAACCCATGAATTATTCTTTTCAAGATGTATTTATTTTTATTTTATTTTATGTATGGGTGTTTTGCCTGCATGTGTACTTGGGCACTATATGCATGCCTGGTACCCACAGAGGCCAGGAGAGGGCATCAGATCCCCTGGAACTGGGGTTACAGATTAGTGTGAGCTGTCACGTGGGTGCTGGGAACTGAACCCCGGGTCCTCTGGAAGAGCAGCCAGTGATCTTATCTGCTGAGCCCTCTCTCCAGCCGTTGTCTTTTAAAAAGTATTGTAATAGGGGGCTGGAGAGATGGCTCAGAGGTTAAGAGAACTGACTGCTTTTCCAGAGGTCCTGAGTTCAATTCCCAGTAACCACATGGTGGCTCACAACCATCTGTAATGAGATCTGGTGCCCTCTTCTGGCCTGCAGTCAGAACACTGTATACATAATAAATAAATAAATCTTTTAAAAAAAAAGTATTGTAATAGAATATCTGTACTTATTCTTTGATAAGTTCATATCATGTAAGCAGTGCATCTTAACCCCACGCACCCCCATCCAGTTAGTTTTTAACCACATATTTTAAGGTCCTGTTCTGTGGAACGTACACACTTGGGATCATTATATTCTCTAATGGATCCATGCCTTTCGCGTTATCAATATCATCAATGCCCTTCATTATCAATAGTGACCTGCTTTGAAATCTCCTCATGGTAGTAGCAAACTCGGCTCTCTTTCCAGCAGGCTTATGTCCTCTGTCCCTTGACTTTCAGCTTCTTTGTGTTTTATATTTGAAGTGCATATGTATTTATAGGTGATTTGTGTATACATGTAGTCTGTGCTGAAATGGGTGCTAGTGATGTACCCTTTCAGCCCAGTGCAGAATTTTTATAACAACACACGCCAGCTTCTCCCCTCTGTCCCAGTCTTGGGGCTGTCACATTCTATGCCCCACAGCTCACGCTGCATCGTGATTTCTGTTGAAACAATTGACTGTGCTTTAAAGAAATGTGCGAAATGGGAAACCTCTATGTCTGTATACTATGTGAGTTCCCGCTGCCCGGGGTACCCATGGAGGCCAAAGAGACGGTTGCATCCCCTAGAACTGTAGTTACCCCGGTCCCCTGGAAGTACAACCAGTGCTCTTCGCCGGAGACACTCCTCCAGCCCCTCACCACAAGTTTGCACAGTTTTCTGTCACGCACCTTGGTGTCATGCCCTTCATGTGTTTTGTCCCCGACTCTCCCTAGACATCTGCAGATCTCTGAGTTTCTGATTCTCACCAGTTTGTGAATGTTCCCACCGTGACTTCTCCAAAGAAATGTGTTTTGCACAAAAATTTATTTTGTTTTTACCTTATTTTTCTATCTGACTTGTTTACTTCATGTGTATGAGTGTCTTGCCTGCATGTATGTCTGTGTACCACATGCATGCCTGCTCCTTACAGAGTCCAGAAGAGGGCATCAGATCCCCTGGAACTGGAGTTACATACAGTTGTGAGCAGCCGTGTGGGTGCTGGGAACCAAACCCAGGGCCTCCGGAAGAACAGCCAGTGCTCTTAACCACTGAGCCGTCTCTCCAGCTC